GTGAACGTGTTAAGCAGCTGAAATGTAGATTGTGTGTGGAATGGGGATTTCAGAGCTGGTGGAGGCGAATCGCTGAGTTTCACGGTCGTACATCGAATGTTAGAATAAATACACTCCAATCTGCTACGCTAAAGGGCTTCCTGGAGAGGGGTGGGGTACGTGTAGGGGGAGCGAAGCCGTATCTCAAATGTGGAGGTCGGTGATGTTTCCACTTTACTGTTTCCAGTTCCATCGGATGTTTATTCTCTCTTCCTCAGTGGCGGTGTACAAGGTAATGGCCAGAGAAGCCGGTACGTCGTAAAGTGGAAGTTTTCTCTCATCGATGCTGGCATTCCTTGATTAGTGGATCACGAAAGACAAGGAAAAGTACAAGAAAGGCAGCTTGGAGAGGCGTTCAAGCTTTGTTGCAGCGTTTTGAGCGGCTAGAAAAATATGGGTATCGATCCAGCTTTGTGACCGTCGTCCAGCATTTTCAGCGATAACCGATACCTACACTTTATTGATTGCTCAGTTGGTACTCTGAAAGGTAAGAGCGCGTTTCAGGATCTTCGCGATCCGATCGCGCTACTGAGGGTGAAATTACTGCGGGAGGGGGTCATGTTCGTTCATGTTCAACTCAACTCAACAAACAACAACAACAAAGTTCTGGGAAGGGAGCGTACTAATATCACCATTTCTCACATCACAATGCTGTATCCTGCCTCCAATAGGCAGTTCCAAAAACGATATAAAAGTAAGTTCGACCTTTTTTGATGTCTTTTATTCCGTGTTCATATTCGCAATACTGACGTTTGCAGAAACCGTCGAAAGGAAAGGTTGTGTATAGACCTGGAGGATGGCAGAACAAACAAAGCAAACACAATGTGACAAAAGTAAAGTGAATATCTGGAGGAACTGGCCAAAATACGGGAACGGGAGAGAAACATACATCACCGCCCTTGTAAAGGTTCTTGCTCTGGTGTTTTACTTTTTGGAACAAGACTATCGTTCAATACTCCGCTTGAACGTACTCAGATGCAAAATTCAGTATAATAATTAGCATATTGTATATTTAGTACTATTTTACATAGGAAATAATAAATAACTCAAAGATATTTCGAAACGTTCTTTAAAATTAGGAGGGCGTTATGTACACAAAGGAAGAAAGAAGGAAAAGAGAGAGAGAGCAGGATCAATAAACATATACGCACATAACCCCCTCCTGCAGGTAATGTTCAGCATCGCGATCCGCGATAAGCCGTCTATCGTGCGTATCCGAGATCTGAGCGCGCTCCAATGCGACGTCATGGATATACGGTGGATCGATACGTAACACATGGTTTGTCGCTTCAAAACGTCTGCTGTCAGTAAGTATGAACCCACTTTGAAAGTCGTATTACTACCCGCAGACTGATATCATCTCATCTGCTTTCAGGTAAACCTCTGTGTTGTCCCACTGGCCCTGTCAGGTGGAACCTGAAATCATTTCGGGTATCTCATTGAGCTTCTGTTTGCACCCGTTCCGGTCTAGCAGCCAAGAATTTCATCGATGTCGGTGCAGGTGTAGTGGACAGCGACTACCGTGGTGAACTGAAAGTTTTGCTGTTCAATTTTGGACCATCGGACTTTGAGGTATCTTCTTATCAAAGAAGTTCGCCAACTCACCATTGAACTTTGAATGGAAGACCTGGGTAGATCGATAGAGTCTATAAGGTTATTTACAAATATGTATAGCAAAATTGCAACCTGCATATCACAAGCAACTTACAGCAAGTAAAGTTTGAAATGGTGCAGCAAGGTGGAGGTTTGGTGAGTCGGGTGAGCTGTGAAGCATAAGCGAGAAATCGCATACGTCGAATCGAGTCGTCAAACGTTGAACCTTACCACTGAACCACCACGACCCGATTCGATGTACGCGATTCCTTTCCTATGCTTCACAGCTCGCCTCCAGACCTCCACCCTACTGCACCATTACAAACTTTACCTGCTCATAAGTTGCTTGTGGTATACAGGTCGCACTTTTGCTATCTATATTTAGTAAAAAAGACCTATAAGGATCTATCGATCTGCCCCGGGATATCCATTCAAAAGTTCCCATGGTAATTGCCGAAACTTCTCTGAATAGTGCATATACTCTCAACTTCTTATCAAATTCTTATTCAAGCGTCCAAAAAGGCGACAGAATAGCTCAGTTTATCTGCGAACGTATTGCGCACTGCAAATACGAGGAATGTACCACATTAACTGACACCGTTCGTGGAGAAGGTGGATTCGGATCGACTGGGAAGTGATGACTATTTCACCGTCTTGTATCGACGCTGTCTTTGATACTTTTGCACCGGTTGAATTTCCCGTTGTTTTTGTACGGTTTTGATCTCCTACTCGTCATTGCATGTGTTAATGAGGTCCGCTTGCTTTGCTCGCTTACAAAGGTCATGTTCGATATCTTGCGGATGAATTAAGAACTTGTATTTGTGCAGTATGTGTGTCTCGCTCTTTATGTGTTGTTGAGCTGTTGCTACCGTCTGTAGTGCAAAGCTGCTAGTGGCGCTGCTGCTGTTGCTGCGAAGAGAGCAATCGTAATGATGGCTCGACCCTCGAATTATTCATGCGGGAGTGCGTTGTGTTTCGTCGGTCCGCGCTGTCGGGTCAACACAATATGCGCGATTGAACGGCGGACCACTTCCTCTAAATATACTCATGATGTGTCTTTCATGATGCCTGCCCTGTCCTAGCCCTTGCGAGGTCTTTATTTTCCAAGTTCTGACCCATAGATTCTGACAATAAAAATATTCTCTTCTCTTGACATCTTAACAGGTAGTATAAATCAGCGCTTATCATTCCTACCTGGAAAGCTTGAAAAATTCAATATACAATCCCCACGGCGCATTCGGCCGGGGGGCATTTTGCAATTTAACTGTTCCACTAGTTCAGGCTCCCAAGTTCAAGTCTGATAAAACCTGTGAACTCTTTGTGAAGCTGGAGCAAGCTCGTCGAGCCAACATGATAAAACCTGTCAACTCTTGTGAGCTCATGAAATAGCTGTCCAGATGGGTTGGCATGTTGGTGGGAAAGAACAAAAGTGCAAAGTGTCTCTCCCGTCGCCAGACTGCCCCCTTCCCCCTATATCCCTCGAGATAGAGGGCGAGGAGGAGAGGGGTAGGAAAATCCGTGAAAAGTGTCAGTCTCTATAATCTGTCAGGAATAATTGGTGACTCCAAGCTCTTATAAGAATTAATTATCAGTACCTCAATATTTATTAATTTTTATTAGGCTGCTAAAGGGTGATATGATCGAAGAGAGAAGGTAGCCTTAACTGTAGCAAAAAAATTCTTTGTAGTGCTTTTGACCTGTTAGATGCCCATCATTCCTATGTGAAGAATCTCAACATTCAAAATAGGTTCTCTCATATTCCTTGACAAGGGGTTGAGGGGGTAGTGGAAAGATGAGGACAGAAAAATTATTTTGCCATCAACCTGATAGTCATTGGGATCTTTCAAGGGAATCAGGGCCTTGTTGGCGCGCGTGAAACGGAAAATTCAAATATTGTCTCCAGATCAAAGACGACCTCCTCTCTGGAGATCCCCCAACGATAATGTGCCTTATATAAATTTCGTTTCGCTCTTCGAACAAACCTGTAATTTTTGTGGGGTTCTATTTCTTTCAATGTGTATTATGGTGATCACTGCTATTCGCGTTTACTACCTAGCTTTACTTGAAGTACCTTACATGTGTAACTCCTTTCATTACCTACAGTGTCAAGGGGGAAGTTATGAAGAAGATCTGGTAGGGCAGATATGTGTAGGATCAGGAATTATACCTCGGTGGGAGTTTGGCCGAAAGGTCACTAAGAGCGCGTTTCGCTTGGGCCTGAAAGTTGCACGGATCCGCGCCCAGTGTGCTTCCGCAGGGCTACACGAATAATGCGTATCTTTTAAGATTAATCGAATTTTTCTAATTTATACATTGAAATTCCTTTTTGGGTTGTCATTACACTTAAATGGTGAAGAGGCTTTCAACCGCAAGAGTAGGGAGGAGTTGTCAGAAAAGGGGTTCTAGCCGCTACGTAGTACTTACAGTGTATGTACTAGGATTGGACTGTGCACTATAGACAACCAGGCCTTGCTCTTCTAATTGACAACAAACTTATCCAAAAGGACTGATGCTGAACTTAACCTTGTCTGCCCTGTGCACGACATGTCATAAGCCTA